GAGAAGATAAGTTGTCAACTTTTATATGTATTTCACAAATTGAAAAGATTATTATCATCATTTTGACATTAGCAAAAAATGACAAAAATTCTATTCCCTTGATAATTAAGTATACTTTCCTTCTCAAGTTACGGTAACTATAGGAATTTGCGTGAGTATGTTTATACACAGAGCCATGCGCGAGAGGTTTAAATACGTAGTCATTCTAAGTTACGTTTGCTTTATTTACGTCACTGACGTTGGTAATCACAATATTACGCAATCGACACATTCAAAAAAATATTTAAAGAGATGGTGCAATTTAGTTTTGTTGAAAGAAATACCTATTTAGACGGAATTTAGCGTATGACTTAATGAAACTGCGATTCCAGGTGTGACTCAAAGTCTACCATAACGTTAAACATTTGTACAACGTAAGTTTACGTAGCTCTCGCTATGACGTTTCATTTTTTCACGTCACTGACGTTACTAAGGACAACAACTATCATCACAACAAGCAACCGACACATGTACAATATGGAAGATGACGATTCCTTCCTTGATTTTTATGCCCAAAACATCCCAAGAAATAGGCGGAATCATAGCATCGAAAAGGAAGTACATGATCGTGAATCAGCAAGTACCTCGGAAGTGCAAGACTATGAAGGCAATGCAGAAACAGTCTCAAGATATTCTAGTTACCATCATACCTCCAAAGTTTATCAGCATGAACTGAGTGCTGGACAGCCTGAAATTAAATCGGGTACACTTTCTAAACCCGCCAAATCTCGAGAGAGATCGGAAAAAGCTCTATCTGAGAAGAAGAGCGCCGTTCGTTCAGAAAGAAGCAAGGAACATCAAAATGGTAACAAGGCATCGAGTAAAAATTCATCTGCCGACACTGCGGGATCTCTCAAAAATGTCAGCTGTTATACCTACATGTATATACCCTCAGATGTTAAATGTATTACCTACAAACATAATAGAAGCAGAAGTTGTAGCGAAGAAGATGAAAGCTCAAGCAGCGAAAACGACACCGAATACGAGAGCGATTTTGAAGAAATAGAGGCTATCGGAAATAATGCTTCTTTGAGTACTGCTTTCTCTTCAAATGTGATCAGCGCATACAGTTTTAAGAGCACACAGTCTCACTTAGGCCCTCAACACAACAAAAGAAAAATATCTAATCGGAGACTCAGTCCGATGGAGCACTATCCGCCCGTCACCGATTCCGACATGCTGTACGTCTACTATGACCCTGAGCCGAGAAGGGATTCTTTTCGGTTGCCACCAATAGACAAGAATTCAACACCAAGTAAACCACAAAGTGAGATGACTGCCAAAAGTGCTAAAAAGAAACACAAACAAAAAGCCTCCTCCAAGAACAAAGATTCAAGAGCAACAGAACAAGAAAAAATTATACCGAAACCATTTGCTCTAGTTGATGCGCCTGTCGTTATTGAGAAAACAGCCGAAAAGAAACCAAGGAATGTCAAGAAGCCACGCGATCGAGCTCTCTCGGCTCATGATACCCAAGTCAATGGAACGTGTCAGAAAAACGCTGCAATAACCAAAACCGCTGCCAGATCGACATGTCAATTTCCCAGTATTCCACAGGAGCTTCACGCGAAAGCACACTGGCAAGACGGAGCCATCAACGTAGTGATAACAGGCAAGATTTAACCCTGAAATTTTTGTTTTGTACAAATTTCCTCAATAGCACCTTAAGGAAGGTTGAATGATACAGGTATATATCTTTTTTAATTAAAAAAGAGACAAAAATATTTCAAACCATATCTTTCAAATATTTTACTTACGTGTTGATCGGTCGCGTCTACATTATAGGATTGAAAATACAAAGCACTAACATACAGCATTAATGACTTTAAGGTATTAGGACTTAGATGACTGTTACATTAAGTTTTGTCACTTTCTTAGAAACATTTTCTTGATTTACATAATCTTCTCCCTCAGGTCGATGCAATGCTCGCAACATTAACTTCCAAGCAATCGAAGCAATGCCACCGATTCTTCTCAATTTCAACGTGCAGCTTCATTGTGATCCAGTATCAGTGCAAAAGCCTAGAAAAGTGAAGAAACCGGCACTAAAAAGGAAAGAAATCCCCCCTAACAGGGATATCCTAAACACGCGGGCACAAGGTCCTCCAATGCGTTACACCCCAACGGAACCAAGTTAACCTATTCCACTAAATAATATTATATACATCCACAGCACAATTTGACATAAAGACTATAACTCTAGACAATATTGAGTATTTAGTTTTTATTTTACACATTTTATAAAACTAAGAATAGATTTTATCCACACGTACAGACTACACTCTAGTGTTGACTGTTCTTTAACAATAAAGAGAAAAGTGAAAACAGTCTGAAATGTAGACTAAAATTGCCATGCGAATTTTCAGTCACCAAAACATTCAATATTTACAACTTTGAATTTATACAGATTTCAAACGGTCAAGGATAACTGACGGCAAAAATCACACAGAAAAGAATTTACATACCAGTACGTGACAGACATGCCTTCTGCAACAACATAATACACTTGCTACGTTGTTTTGTTTGTAAAATGTATAAATACTAACAAAAAAAGATTGCTATGCACAAGTTCTACTCCTTTATATGAAGTTTGCTGGGTCCTAGTTTATATTTAAAGATCCCGCAAATTCGATGAACTGCAATAAGTTTCTCATTGCACTTAAAAAACATAATTTAATAAATAATCCCAGCTGAAGGTGACATCTGGTGGTTTGTCCTGACAACTCCTCAGCCCCACAGATCTTCCGTTCTTCCAAACTTCATCACCAAACCTCTGAAATAACGGGATAAAGATGCTATGTTAAATGGATTCCAAACTTTCTCACCAAACCTCTGAAATAACGGGATAAAAATGCTATATGAAATGCATTCCAAACTTCATCACTAAACCTCTGAAATATTAAGATGAAGATGTTAAATTAAATGCATTCCAAACTACACAAAACCTCTGAAATAACAGGATCAAGATGTTAACAGCCAAAAATGACAGAAGTTTACAGTGAGAAAGATGGGAACATCATTGTAATTAAAATGAGGATGAAGCTCCAAGTTACAAATTTTATCTAATTTTCATTTGAATTACTCTCAGTTTACACAGCACAAATATTTCATTAGCAATAGCATAAGCATCTAATTCAATGTCTAAAAATAAACAGCTAATAGATAAGCAATAGAAATCTTTATAAAAGGATGTTTGTACTCACCCAAAGAAAATAAGGGCATTTTGGAGGAAAATCTGAACTCCAGGCATTGGATTAGGTATGTTATCTGAAATTGAATTAGTTTTGGTTTCTATTCTTAATGGATCTTGTACAAATGCACATTTTGATAATGTATATAAAAACAGACTTTGGTGATCATTTCAACTTTTTTTTGCTTTTATGATGATTTAAATTAATTAAAAAGCTATTTGAAAATTCCATCTAAACTTTGTTAAAAAAAGAAGAGATGTTATAAATGAACAGATGACACCAACTACAAAATGAAACTCCAAAAGCTGAAAATTTTGTTAGTCCCTGGACACAAATGAAGGTCTTATTCTAACTTGATAGAATGATCACTTACTTGGTGGAACAACATAAAGTCCAAATAAAATCCAGGCTGCAGCAATAAGGGAGCCAAAAGCCAACAGAAAACCAATAAATAACCACACCCTTGCTCCTGGAAAACAACAACTCAATATTAATGCAAAAGACTCAATCAATACCTACATAGCTTCATCTGTCAACAAACTGATTTTTTTTGTGTGTTCCTACTATTTATCAATATGCTAAGGCAGGCAAATTGAGGCAATATATACAAATGTTCATTGCAGAAGCATTCTGTAAGTAGAAAAGGATATTTATAGTCAAGAATACAAGTGGGGCAATTTTGAAGTCTGCCAGCAACCCATAAGTACAAAAGAAGGCATTTTTCATGAATATAAGTCGATGTTATATGATTACAGTATGTTATTTTCTAAAACTCAAGTGAAAACACAATTTTACCTCTTTGTCCCAGGCAACCAGTTGAATATGAGTCACCTCTCACTTGGCCATTTGATACCGAATTTATCCTGTGATATAAAACTTAAGTTATTTATTTGCATTTGAACCTTTGGCTACACAAAGCATGTATTTGACAGGACAATGTACCTAAATGACTTTATTTATAACTGAATAGAACTTCCACTATGGAGCTAATCTTTACCAAAAGATATCATAATTAATCATGTTTATTAATTGCCATACTTACTGTCAACATCACTTAGGACAAATAATAATAATAATAAAACACATTCTTACATGAATAATGCTATTGTTCCAACTGCTCCACAAATGTGGGCTGCCTTAGGCAGATCAGCTTCATTGGGGAAAACTGCTGCAGCATCTATGGCAATCCACCAACCACTAAAGAACTTTTAAAAAATGTTACAACTTAAAAAATAGAAGTTTGCAACATATCTTTAAATTACAAAATAACATTCACTTCCTAACATAAAACAACTCATTGTAAATCTGATAGTATACAACTTAATTTTAACTGTTCATGAGAGTTGTCTAAATTGTTACGCCTGGCAGGCTTTTAAAAATGAAATTATCTTACCATAGCGCCTGACACAATAGATGCAATGGCATTCCTTTTTTCTCCCAGCTCACAGCACTCACACGAAGGCCATTGAAAATTATCCAAACATCCAGCCATCCTTGACTCAAAAGATGTTTGCTATCTACCACGAGTCGGGCTACAATGCAGTTTCACAGAAATTGATCTGCAAAATAAAAGTAAATCCATTTCAATAGAAGAGTACCAGTACTTTATATACCACAAAACAGAGGAGCAGAGAGACTTGGCACTAGAAATTTAAGTTATCCAAAATTATTGGCAAGAATTATTCAGATTACATATCAAAGTGTATGGAATACTTTTGCTCAGGTACTATTTTCATGTATAACACCATATGCCATTGTTCTGATAAGTACAGAATTGCACCTAATTAACATTGTATTTTAAGAACAACAAAATTCCAACCTCTAGGTGTGAAATGATTACATTTGACCCTTTGCCTCTCCCAAACACTACAATATAATAAACTCTTTTTGAAGTTTTTTCACATCGTGCAGTGCACTTTTCAGTTTTGCACCATTCTGAGGGCGACTACTTAATAGCCTGTCATTTTTGTCTATTTTCCAAACAATTCCAAACTTATGAGCCAGCGGGATGTCTAGATATACCAGTAATGAGTTACTTCGAACATGAGAGGGGTCGTCGGAGCCGATAAATGGAGGAACTGGATTTGATATTGGAAACAACATTAATTTCAGCCCGCTCCAAACATTGAGTTCAGTTATTCAACCATCAAGTTAAAATACCATTATAAACTTAAGTTTATTGTCAAGTAAATGAGAATAATACCAGGTATCTTACCTAACTCATTCAGATAAAAACACAACCTTGTTTTAGGTTACTAGTCGATTCATCAAATATTCTTCGGCTTTTTCACGTGACCTTCACATTTACTTATTTGGTATAGCACGTCATAAAGATGTTGAGTAACATTCCTTCCTTTATTATACCTTCAACACTTAAGCAACTTAAGATGTTGATATATTTTATACACATGGAATGAAGATTTGTAAAGTTTCGTCGTTTTTTTCTTTTTGGCAAAATATGACTATTTAGTACCAAAGACAGAACAATACAACGTTCAACGCGCGCGTTTGATATTATCAATATGTCTGCGCCCATGATGGAAACGGCTGTTAAACAATTCTGTCGAATATTGACTAATTCTGCAATCCTCAGAACAAAATGTAGCCCAATAAGACCTAAAAGGGAGTTTTCAACCATCGCTGAATATGAATCAAACAGCAAAAATGAGGAAACTCAAAAGGAAACATCTAAACATGGTTTGAAAATTAAAAATTATGGCAATAAGCTTGCTGACGGCCCTTCGCTTCATTATTTTATTACTAAAAGTACCACGAACTTTGAAGTCGACCAGTCTGTAGGTCCATCCGAAAATGAAGACATTGTGCCGTATTTTTCACCAGAAATTCTCAGTGGAAAAGGAAGAAAGGGTAGCCAACTTCTTATCAGTGACAGTATCAAGGAGAAATGATTATTATTTCTAAGAAATTTCGGGCACTTTCGGCTGTCACCTTGATTGTTTTATGTATTTGTAGACCAAACAAAACAACCAATATGATAGCATGTTAGACTTTCATTATGCAAACGAAAAACACTAAGAATGGTGCAGAATTTTGAACAAATATATTATAAAATCACTGTTGCTGTGCAAAAATAAAGCACTCAACTGAATAGAAATAAGGATAGAAAGATGAAGAAACTATGTTCACCCATGTAACTGTATGGAAATGAGCTTATTTATAAAAATAACTATGTATTCAAAGCAATTCTGATAATTAAAAAATTTTTGATTAATAAGGTAGTTTACCACATATTTCTTTTACAGTGTGTATAGAAACTCATGGATGTCAGATGAATTTTAGTGATACAGAGGTTGCTTGGAGTATTCTCAAGGAAAAAGGATTTGAACGTACAGATTGCCTACCAGAAGTATGAAGTTATATCATATTTTCATGATGAGATACACTTTGTAGTCTCTGTAATGTTTGGCTGTTGAAAGAAAAACATAAATTGACGGAGAATCATTAAACTTATAAAATAAAGGTTCTTTGTTGGGTTGTATATATGGTGTGAGTTAATTATTCTAAGATATCAAAGTTATAACCATTATCTTTCAGGCAGATGTCCTGTTAGTTGTCACCTGTGCGATAAGAGAGGGGGCTGAGCAGAAGATTAGGAAACGGTTGGCCTATTACTCTGGTTTAAAGAAAAGAAGGCAAAAACTTAACCCCAAAGTTCCTGTGAAGATAGGCATTTTGGGTAAAGGTTTATGTAATTTATTTAATTGTTAATTTTTTTATTACAAAGATATTTAAAATACAGAACTTTGTAAGATCTTATTCTTTTACCAGAAAATGCTTTATATCAGTTTCAAAACTTGCTAGATGTCTCCTTTCTGTTTGATTAATTGATTATTCTAATGTATTTCTTGCAACTTAGTTGGAATGTATTCTAGAATAGAAGACTATTGAAATATTAAAAAATAATGATATATTGTTGAGTGGATGAAAAAGCTGAAATTTGACACATGGCAGGGTTTTTTAAAGTTTGAGAGCCGAACTGTTTTTTCTATCAGGCTGCATGGCAGAACGTTTGAAAACTAAACTTTTAGAACAAGAGGATGTAGACATCATCTGTGGTCCTGATTCATACAGAGATCTACCAAGGATGCTGGCCTCCTCACAGGCTGGCCATTCAGCAGGTATGCACAGATTGCAGTCCCAAACTAATAAAAACACAAGTTTATAAAGCAATCTCATGAATATTAATCCATGTGCAACTGTGAAAAAAAGAAAAGCTTTTCATGGAATTTATTCATATTATCTCACTAATTTTCAGACTGAGAGATAAACTATACATTACAAGATTGCAGAAAAAGTGTTTTTCCATTTCTTCCAGTCAATGTTCAGCTGTCAATGGAAGAAACCTATGCAGATATTATGCCTGTCAGATTGAATGAAAATTCTAAATCTGCCTTTGTGTAAGTAGTATTTACATTTCTCAGAGAAACAGTCATACTAAATTTTGATCTGTTGCTAAGAATCAACTTAATTTCTGAGAGTGGTGTATATCAACATTCATGTGCATGTTTTTATATAAGTATTTGTGTTTACATGTATGTATGCATTAAATCCTTCATTCACATTGAACTTCTTGTAAACTGATATATTGTAGGTCAATAATGCGAGGCTGTGACAACATGTGTAGCTACTGTATTGTACCATTTACCAGAGGCAGGGAGAGGAGTCGGCCTATTGAGTCCATTATCAATGAAATAAAAACTTTGTCTGATCAGGTATGAAGCAACACATTTGATCTTTTTCAGCATTTGAAAGCTAGCAGTATGGCTGCCTTTCAACTTTTAAATGGTAATTATAATTTCCCACATATGCTTAGCTATACTGAAGAAGGGCATCCATAAATTAAAAAAATTCTTCTTACACCTTGCATGTACAGTTCCATAAGACAGTGAACTACCATGATTGCTCAGCCCATATAGCTTATCATGGTGCACTAGAAATCTTGCCATATGTTGCCCAATAACAAAAGGTAATTATCAATTGTGTGCATTTTTAGGGTGTAAAAGAAGTCATGCTACTTGGTCAGAATGTGAACAGTTACAGAGACCTTTCTGAATCTCAGCATTTTGGGGGTATTGGTGGTGACAGGCCCACAGTGATGAGTGAGGGGTTTGAGACGGTCTACAGGCCCAAACATGGTGGCAAGAGGTTCAGTGACCTGCTGGACAGGGCTTCTCTGGTGGATCCTGACATGAGAATACGGTTTACGTCACCACATCCTAAGGACTTCCCAGATGAAGTACAATGTTACATCAATATATAGTAACAGTGCTTAATGCAGATTAAGAGTTTAAGACACTCTCATGCTTTATTTTTATATCTTGTGTTGAAATATTACAACAATTTGAGCCTTTTGTTTTGTGTAAAGTGTGAAAAGATTATTTAAGAAGATATAAATAGGATTGATTTTTGTAACCTAATAAGATTACATAGAAGTTTTTGAAACTTACTTTCTTTTGCTCAGGTACTCTATCTGATACAAGACAGGCCTAATATATGTAAGCAGATACATTTGCCTGCACAGAGCGGGAACTCTGATGTGTTAGCTGCCATGAGGAGAGGCTACACACGTGAGGCATATATACAACTGTTACACCACATTCAGGAAGTCTTACCAGGTCAGTTGATTCTGCTCTTGGGACATTTTTTTTTATTTTGCCTTTGTGAAAGGGTAGGACTTCCATATCCTTCATTACTGAATATGAATCTGACTAAGTTGTTGTGGCAAGGCAGGGCAGGGCCTGTTCAGTGATGGTTTTTACTAATTTGACTTACATATCATCCAGAATTTTATTCTATCCAGAATTATGGATTTTTGACATTACAGAGTTATACATTAACACCTGTGGTTATGGAGGAGGGTTAGGTGCCATATAGAGAAATACAATGTTGTTTCTCTTACCTTTCTTTGTGATTGCAGGTGTCTCACTGACCAGTGATTTCATAGCTGGTTTTTGTGGAGAGACTGAAGAAGCCCATGAAGATACTTTGTCACTCCTCAGGCTGGCCAAGTATGACTTTGTGTGGGCATTCCCATACAGTATGAGACAGGTGTGTGTTGATCAGTTTGAAGGATAGATACATTAGTTATATTGGTAACTAAATAGCTGGCTATTATGGAAGGCCCTACATGCCAATAAACTTACTTCTGCCTAAACAACAGGAAGGTAACTTGTGGACATCTTGTGCAAGGGAGTGAAGTCCCCTATAGCCTAATTAGCAGGTAAAACCTGTCTTAGCATACCAGCACAGCTGCATTGCGGAGATATTTATGGAATCATGCTGATTACATGTTTTATTATTGATGTGAAATATTGAAAAAGAATTAGTGTGTTGCAGTGTGATGAAAGATAAGTAGGCCCTGATGACTGTTGCATTTTTTCTACCTTTAAACCAACAATAAACTTTTAATATGCTTTCATTATGTAAGCATTGTAAATCTCCTTGTGGAAAAAAGAATGAAAATAGCCTGTTGAGACTGAACATATTTTTTGTAAACCTATTTGTTATCTCTCTTATTTAAGAAAACCAAGGCATTCCATTGGTTACAAGATGATGTTCCACAAATAGTAAAGCAAAGGAGAATGGAAGAAATTTTAGATACAGCAAGAAAAGAGATGGGAATGAAGAGAAAAAGTGAAATTGGGAAGTTGCAATTGGTCCTTATTGATGGGGTAGGTAGAAAAATCAAAAAGGAAAAATTTCTGAAGATATCCTTTCATGTCTTGCCCATTGCTTGTCTGCTGAAATGAATTTTGACATTTCTTGTCAGTTGTGATATCCTAATTACCTTTTGTTGTTTGCTTTTTATTAGTTTTTGTTTATGTCCCCATAAAACATAAAATATTTCATTTATTTTGAGGTTTTTGATGTAAAGATGAAATAAATAGTAAGATTAACATAAAGTACTATTGTAGTCGGCATGGGATATTTCAAGGTTCCATGTTTACCATTCATATATTGTGCATTAATTAGTTTGTTGATAGAGCTAGGTGTCATGTGTTATTTATTGTCCTCTGTCAGGCAAATCTCTTCATGCATCAGTCTTGTCAAAATCCTGTTTTTTTGATAAATAACTCTTGTTATTTGATATTTTCCATTCGGCTGTCTTTTTTTTTTCTTTTTTTTTTTTTTTTTTTTTTTTTGTTAGTTTTCTTTCTGTATTTGTTACATTGCTGAAATAATGGATGAGTGATGACAAATAAGTGATGGGTGCTGTCTGGAGCATAGAGTCAAGAGTGTTTACCTTTACATTATTGATCCCGATATTTCCATGTTGAATGCATTGCTCGTCAGCTTGAGTTGGAAACTCTCTCACATGTATGCTATTCAGCCAGACAGTAGTGATTGTTTTTTGAGTGATATTTCAGTAGTCATATTGGATTTCTGTCAGAATGTTGAACAGTAGCCTGTTACATGTAGCTTCCCACAAGCATCATGCATTTTTGATGAAATTTGCAAAATCCTGTTTATTTCTTCTGAAGTATTTTATAAATAATGCTTTAATGTTGGACTCAACCAGAACTTCAACAAGTACATTTTGTCAGTGATGGATCTGTGCTCCCAGGTGGAGTAAAAGGGATGATAATGAAGAATTGTATTTTCAGTCTGTAATTAATATATCTTATTAAAGTGTCCATTTTAAGCCATTCCCTTGTCTGTTGACCTTCAGCCCACCACTGATTGATCAGTAGTAGGGTGACACTTGATTAGAACTCTGGTCACCCATGCTAATTAGAAGTTGGGTGAAATTGATAATGCCCAAATTGATTCATTATTTTAACCAAGGAATTTTTTTTTTTTTTTTTTTTTTTTTTTTTTTGTATAATTTGAGATATTTTAAGGTATACTTGTGAGTCTGTCAGATTCTTATAAATGATTTTCCTAAAAAAGCTGTTTATTATTTATTTATTTATTATTATTATTTTATTATTATTATGATTATTATGATTATTATTTATTTATTTATTTATTTATTTATTTATTTGCGTGCAAAATGCAATTTACTATATCAGAAGAAAACAATTTCCATATATCAAAAATGTGTTTTCTAGAATAGGCTCATGTCGCGGTTGGATTTTTCTTATCATAATAACACCATTCAGTACTGGGTCGCTGGGGGACATCTTTTGTCAGGTCATAAATTGCAAATCAATTATTTCACTATGAAGTAGTATGTTCAAAGGAAATGCTCAGGTTTATTTCATATTTATTGGTGCTGATTGGCAAGTGTGAATTTTGAGATGGTGATCAGATTTTAGGAGCCAGTGTCTCACTGGACTAGAGTCCGGGTAAATCTGGGCTGGGTTGAATGGCTGATGCTTCAACAACATGTATATATACACCATACCCTTTGTGCATGAATGGTGCTTCTGGCTTAGGAGCCACCTGCAGCAGGATTGGTGACTTCTAAGTGATTGAATTAAGACAATGTGTCTTGTCCTTGTTAAGAGTACACTGCAAGAAAGAAGCAGTTGACTGTAGACACTGATGGAGGGAACGTGTGGTGACAGATGGGAGAAAAAAGCTCTCAGTCAACAAGTGATCTGTATTAGCTGTCATTCTAAGATTGAATGATCAATACATTCTGGCAAGTGAAGAGTATAGTTATGTAATATTTAACAGAGATACCACATGACAGATATAGTGTTTTGCTTTAGTGAATGTAAAGCTGTTTAGCAAGCCAGTACTGCACTTTAAATTGCTGGGACCCGTGAGAGTGGTATTGAATTAAAGTTGATGGAATTTGAGCACGGAAAATGGTCTTTTTTCTCTTATTTTCAATCATAGTCTATTGCACAACAGTCCCAGCAGGTAGAGTTTGACTCTTATAGCCCAAAAGTAACCCCCAATTCACATGGATCCTCATACTTTTTCTATTCTTGTAAAACATCACACACTGTTATTTGCCTTATTTTAGGCTCTATCTAAGATGCTGGGTATTAGATCACTCTGGAGAATCATACCATTTCCAAAATACTTGATTTGCTTAACGGCCTGTTTGCATGGTGGATGAGGTTTTTATAACAGGAAAGAAAAATTCCCAAAGAGTTCCTGAAATCAGATCTCATCAGTTTCTCAGTTCTGTTGCTTACAGTCTTTGTCGCTGGTGATGTCAATTTTGTGATATGATGTATCAGTGGTTATAAGGATGGATGGATTCTATTTAGGCTGGGCTTGTTAGAAACAAGATACAATGATGGAGTTTTCATCAAAAACTTTACACTGCTTCCCGTGAATTATGTCCTTAATTTATAGCAGAATATTAAATATAAATGACAGAAGGCAGGCAAATTTCATGGAAAATTTATCAAATCTGACGGCTGCAGTGTATGTTGCTTGATTGATATCATCAATCATGTAGAGTATTCTTTGATTTTTAGAGGAATATTTCTGCTGTTTAACAGAAATTTCATTTTAAGCAAGAAAAATCATTATGATAATACTAAAAAGAAAAAAACCAAGACAACTATATTTTGACTGTAAATGATTTCAGTTTGACCAAGGGTATTTATTTGTGTGTCTGTGTCTGTCTGGCTGTCTGTGGGTCTGTCTTTCTGACTGGCTGTCTGTCTGTGTGTCTGTCTGTCTGGCTGTGTCATGTTAGGAGGACTCTACAAAAATGAATCAGTCATTATTTACTTGTATCTGCACTTAGATTAAAACGGAGTATTATTGAATGAGCCAATACAAATAAATGTTGTCACCTTGGATTATACGTATTTTCCATTTCTTGAATATGTATCTTCAGTGTGAGCTCATTTAGATACACTGAGTGGCATCATTTTGAGGTAATACATGCATATTCATCTCTAGCAGTTTTGTCCAATTGCATATCATTTGATTGGTAAGATGTCAGCTTTGTTCATGATCAGATTTTTTTCTCTATAAATTAGGAAGCATGGATAAATGAATAAAGCTGTTGAGCTTTTGTTCTCTGATCAGCAGCATGTTAAAAAAAGTTCTGGATGTGAAAACAGTTGTGTTGGTACAAAAGCCATTGTGCAATATTCACTTTTGATTCAGATAAGCATGGCTATTTATTTATATGTATATAATAATAATGTTAGTGATGATGATTATGATGACTGATAATAAACATATTTTAGGGTGGGAGTTTTCCTGCTTGTTGAAGATATTTTCTTTTCATTTAGGAGAGCAAGTTTCAAAAGTTTTTGTATTTTGTATGAAAATGTTGATAGGAAGTCTAGTTTATAGTTCATAGACTTTCACCCTTTATTAACATTCTCAATCTGCTCCCATCCATGCAAACACGCTGAATGTCTATGAAGACAGGTCAGTGACAATGTCTAAGTCAGCGCCATTGGTCATTATGACAACAACAGTTCAACTGCATCATTTTCATTGAGAGATTTTCAGTTGACCCCCATTACTGATTTGTTTTGACTTGCTTTGGTTTTCATTATTTTATTATTCTCTAGATTAATTTGAAAACATACTTGCTATGCATTATTCAGTTCCCAAGCATGTGGGAATTGGAAGAAAATTTATGTGGTGACCTTAGGTGATTTGAGAAAGGACCAATTAATAATAGATTCACAGAAGAACTAGGAAGTACTTATTATCTCTGCCAAGGTCAGCTGATGCTGCCTTTGAGATAGTTATTTCATTATTTTTATAGCAAAAGGGTGAAAGTTCCACACAAGAAGAAAGTATCATGTATTACCTCCAAAGGAGGGTGTGTTTTGATTTTTTGGGGTTTTTAGATAGCAGCCTAAACTCAAACTAAAAATATTGATATGATATGATATGACATTCAGGATGGGCCTGAAACTGCTAACTGAGAATTGAATAGACTTTGGAGTTGATGCATTGATTAATTGATTTGTATGCCTTGGTGATCTTTTCTAGTTTCATTCTATTGTTGGAAAAATATGAAATTGAGGAACATTTAATTGCCAAAAAATTTCTGATCTTATTTTTTATAAATCCTATGCTGATGGATATTGAGATTTTCAGTTTTTGTCTTTCTTCCTACTTCTCCCTTGGAACATGAAATCAAGTCTGATAACAGAGCATGAATCCCCCCTAGACACTAAAATCTTACATCTGGAATCATCCATTAATTAGCACTGACAGTAATTCCAACTGTTATTGCATTTTTACTTCAAATGTAGCATTTCTTAATTTTTTTTATTAATATACCATAATGTCAGTTCTTTTCAATTTACATTGGAACATCAGTTATTGTGATTCCAATGCTCATGTTGGTGAACATGTTCACCTGGGTTATTAACCAGCAGGAGTTTTAAAATAGAGACACACAAACTGTTCTTGTCAGTGCTCAAGTCTGTCAGCTGTATACATGCTAACATTGCTCTAGATTTGGAACTTATGTTGATTGTGCTTTATTTTTCATATTGATAGAAGATTAAAAAAGCCTTGTGTGTGATATTAAGATTCTTTTACCATTCAAGGTGACGATTGTGGCTCTAGTGATAATAGCAGTGATTATTTAGTTCAGTTCTTTAAATTTTGTCTTTAACCACCCTGATTTGTTTTATGAAATTTTCATTTTAGAAAAAAATGTGAACCTTTTAGATGACCCTTAATTTACAAGTGATGTTCAGCCATTTCTTTGATTGATTTTTCAGGACAGCAAAAAGTCGTCTGCTGACCTGGTTGGTAGAAATGATGGAGGTATTAAGGTTGTTTTTCCCCAGTGCTCTTTACCTGGGAACAGTGACCAAGATGCAGCTAGTTCAAGTCCCTTGAAACCTGGTGATTATGTTATTGTGAAGGTATACAGTATTTCTATCATGCTTTAAAGAAACATTGCAGTTGCTTTACAGTGAAGCTATAACTTGAATCTTTTATGTACAACACATAAAAGGATGTAAATTAATTCAGATCAAATCGTTGCCTATAGTAAATAGTCTCTGAATCAAGAGATATAATATATAAACACAACTGAGTGAAATAAGTTTGTTATATAACTCATATTGTAAACCAAACTCAGATCTTGACTATTAAATTGGCAGAAGTTAACAAAGTTCTCAGTGAGAAGAAACCATTTAAAGTCATCATAAAACCTTGCTGTTCATCCTCGTAGAGACTATTATCATTTTGCAACAAAAATGAAAAATTTAAATTCCTCCCCTGCACTATTACAATTATATTTGTTTAAAGTGGTCAGGGGATTAATTTACATCAAAAACATAATATTTGAAATAGGAAATATTAACATAATTTTACATATTGTTTAAGCAGCTTCACTTTCTTCATACTGGTGAGAAAGAGGTTTTTGAGATTTTTTTCTTTTTCATGCCTGTGGTTCCACTATGTGTTTGGCACACATTTATGCATTTGTTTATATTGTTATCATTCATGAAGATGAAACCCAGGCTCACATCTAAAAATTGCTCACATGGGATCTATGTATCAATGAATCGTGATGTGCAGTAATTGATGTCTTGGCTGTTGTGTAATATTTTCTTATTATGGAATTTCTATTCTTAATCAACCATTAAAAGATAAAACACAGATGATTGAAGTTCTAGACTGAAAAGCCAGTGTTATTTTTATTTTTCATATTTATGTTCTAATTAATCTGCCTGTGAACTGACTACTTCAAAGTGTTTCATAAAAATTACCTCATATCCGCTAACAAGGAAAAGGTCTGAGTCAAATGATATTTTTAATCTTTATCAGGTTACAAGTGCAGAAGGTCAGACAATGAGAGGTGTTCCTGTAGCTCGCAACTCTCTACGTGAATTCACCACAGCAGAGTGACATACACACTGATACACGGACAAGGAGTCGGGAGTTTAGACCGTTGACTTCAGTTTGAGAGCCAAACCTCTGAAAACAGACAGTATTCAAGAAACTAAAGAAAATGATAAAGGGCCTGGACTTATTATCACAAAGTCTGATATTTAATCAGAAACAAAGTTGCACATTTTACTAATTAGAATATTTGAATTATCACCCCTCCCCCCTTCATAAAATCCACACTTGGCACATTTGTAACATTGAAATTCAGTACATTCAGAGCAATACAACGTACATTATATTATGCCCTAAACATTAAAATAGATCAAAGAAATCCACTTTTAAGTTTTCTCTCTAAAGTTGAGTGTTATTGACATAAATCTATCTGTAATGATTGCATGGATGCCAAATGTCATCTGAGTCAAAGATGGCTACTTTTGTGTGTGCTATTTTTATATTGATTGATAATTGGCGTGCAGATGCACTGGTCCTTAGTATCATAGAATTGCCAAGTCAGATCTCCCATTTTCTACTTGTAGTACACAAGCACTTGCTGTGATCTCTTGATAAAATAAAAAAACAACAACGCAACTTTATGACCTAACTCCACTGGGAGAAATAGCACTTACCAAGTGCTAATGCAAAATCTATTTCTGATGGTTATAAGATGTATCACTAAGTATTGGTAAGAAAATAAAAGCTACTTTGAGTCTCCAGGGTTGATCGTGCGCTCTGGCCACACCGGCATCAGGCCTTATGTCGGAGTACAAGAGGATTGGGATTGTTGTCGAAAAAAAAATAAATAAAACATACTTTGAAAAGAAAATGTACCACTCTCCTCTGATTATTCTATTGTTTATTAATTTATTAACTCACTAATTTATTTATTTATTTATTTTGCAACATAAAAAGTAAGATAATCCAAGATGTGCCAAACTACCTTGCATCAGCTACACGAGTTAACATTAAAAGATCATAGCTGTAATTGTTTCTCTTAAATATCTTGATTTGTGTGTTGCGTTTTATTTAATATCAAGCTTTTTCCTTCATACTATGTGCAATGCAAATGAGAAGGAATAATTTCAAGTATATGTGTGATGTGTGTGCAAACTGGCTGCCAACGCACCAAGTAGATAAAAAATGCATTAACTTAAGACTTGTACTGATGGTATTTTGATATAAATACACCTATTATATAGCTGTCAGCGCAGGTTGGTGATACGCTGTACTTTCATCATACATAGGATGGGAGCTTCTGATGTTCTGCTTTTATCTCCTTCAAGCAGACTTGTTCGGTTTTCTGTAATGGACCGCATGTAACGAACCGCGTTGGCAAGTAAAAACAATTGTACTCGGGAGTTAAACATTAGAATGGGTCCACTTTCAAATGCGTTTACCATCAGAGATCAATATTATACCATTTATTAGAACGTCAGAAGTTACAAAGTCCATTTCACAAAGCGTTTCAGAAAGATGACAAGTTCTTCCTGGAAATACTGCCATGGCTTATTGACGCTCAACTTAAAAGTGTCTTATTAGTAGTGTTTATGGATATGCGAGCCCAGTTAAGTGTGCGCTTTTACAGCCTCATCACCACCTTCCCCCCTCATTTTGTCTCCGCTTACTGTTAACAGCCTGTATTACAATACAAATGATCCAGCTATCGCCGTTTAGGTGTCGAAGTCGTGACTCTCATTTCCTGCAATCTTTCGGTTATCAAGGGGCTCAGTTGCATTTCCATTAAGACGCTCACGAAGTACACTTTTTTATCTGAAAAACGCAGTTTCTGGTGTTGCATGAGATACAGAGTTATTAAGTGAGCTCATCTCCATCTGCGCCACTCCAGTTAACCGTCACATCATCTTTAATTATCTATGGAAGCACGTGTTAGAACCTCACGTTAAGGAATGGAAAAATTGCATTAAATACATATTGTAATTGCTGCTAGTTCTGACTATTTAATTTACACTATTGAATACATAAAAATTGCCTTTTTACGAAAAACCACTGCACAGCGGATACAACCACTTCCCTTTAAATGAAGCGAGTCGTGTTTCTTTCAATTATACCAACACGAGAATCATTTGTTTCAGCCGTTAAAGAAGCGTTTACTTCCAAATTGAAAGACAATTCGCGGAGTAGAGTCACGATTCAAAGGGAATTTAAAAGAATTTCCTCACTTAGTCGACCTTTTTAATGTTTACTATTTCACGGGAATATATTTGACCTTTTTGTATAAAAAGTAAAGCCTTTTTAATGACAACATTTATTTGACTTAAAACGTTTAAAACTAATTAGTTGTAAAAATGTTTCAAGATTCACGTTCACGGGCTTAATTATAGCAAGAGGAGATGATAACTCGGGTGGACAGATCGGAAGTCGAAACTTAATCTTGATGCGGCCTTGCATGAATGATTAAGATTATACGGCTTTAAAAGTGGAAGGAATCAAAAGCAAGATCAAAAAAGACTGTTTTGTGATGTCCCCCCTCTTTGCCATTACAGTGTTAGTGTACCTTTTGCCAAAGTGAGCAGATACAAAGCTACTTTATTTATTATTATCATTTATTAT